TTTATAGGAGCGATTTTCTGGGAGAAATTTAATTCTCGAACGTAGAACACAAGGAATGTAATACTATATCTTTAAATGTTATATCTCTCAGTACCAGGTAATCATTCGAAATATTTAGATCTGCGTTCCAGAAAATGGAACTCATGATACTGTTATATAACTCTTAGACATCATTTGGATGTTAGAAGCCTTCAGATGACGCCACTGATCTTTTTTCTTTCTTAGCGAATCAGAATTTATATGACATTATTAGTTAGTTTAAGAAAATCTGCGTTTATCAGATAGAGACAACGATTTAGTTATTATTTCATAACTTGTGAAAACTGCAATTTTTTTCAAATAAAGGTTTCAACATAGCGCCTATCAACAGGAAATATACACTTCTAACAAAGTTTTGAAGTCATAATGAATGTAAAAACTAACAGACATGTCTTTATATGACAATACTGCTTCAGAAAATTACAAAATAAAAACATAGAAAATAATAAAAAACATTGGATGTTTAGAAATATGTCATATATATAGTTTTGTTACTCGTTACTGAAAGCATTGAAAATTGTAAGAAAAAACACCAACACACTGTTAAAGCTGAAAATCTTCACCATAGACTAACAAAAGTTTATATTTCAGATCAATAACATCATTATCATCAATAACATCAATTATCATCTTTACCTTAACATGATTGGTGATATTTCAGTGTTAGTTTGATAATACATTTCCTATTGAGCAGTACAGATACAAGTTGCTTATTCGAGAAACGGTACATTTTATTATACATAAATTTACATAACTTTTTTATAATAAGTTATGCAATTTTTCGTGTTAGATCGTCTAGAAGAACACTAGTAAGTTTAGTGAGAGATTCAATAGTTTTGAAAATATTCTACGTAGCACCTTCACGAGAGTCTTTAGATAGTATTATTATGAAACATTATAATAGTATTGTTGATGCTCTGTAGTTATTTATTTTAAGAAATTGTTCCGTTCGTGATCAGAAAGTGGATCCATCTGGTGTTGATATAAAATAAAATATGCTAACAGAAGCATAACTAACATATTTGAAAATGTATATAATTCAAACTTCTACCCACTGAATGTATTTAATATTTTGTCTGATTTCTTTTTAAGACATTTAATAAAATACGAGTTGTTATTACAGGCTTCAAATACCATACTTATATTATTTGACCGAATATAATTGTCAGAAATAGTGATATCCTACAGTTAGTTACATCACTAGCATTTCAGGTTCGAGATTAGAAATATACTGTTATTATTATAATTTAAGTAGGTTGACGTATCATAATAAAACTCGTATAGATTCCTGCCAGTTAATGCTTAAGGTAAATGTATCTACAGTTTAAGGTAGGACTCCACCTCAGATTAGTAAATCTATACATATATATGCATAATATTAAAAAAAATATTGGCACGGTACAATTTCGGTTGGTAGTCATTCCTGTTCTTGAATGTGCATATAAATTCCATGGTGTACCAGTGTGTAGAGGTTATAAAGTTAAGCAGCTTCTGCATATAGCCATTTAGAGATTTTCTTCCAGTTGTTCATACACAAATACATATTGATAAAGTAGTAAATAAATGGAAAACCATCAAAAACGTTAATGTAGAATCTTCTCCCTCTCTGTCAAAATTAATCACCTCTGGTTCCACATGAATTTTGAAATGTGTTTGAAAGACAAACGATACACCTGACTCATATATGCTTTTAAAAATTCTAGAAATACTACTCAAATCATTTTGAAACTACCTAGTTCAAGAGATGATTTTTTTCTTTCCAATCTGTAAAAAATGTAACAATTTTTATGATAAAATTCTCCTAAGTTATAATTTTTTTTTGCTTCTAGTTGTCTATGGATTCTTGAGTAGAGTATTGAAATGTAACCTATATATGATGTGATAGCACACAAGCTGTTATTTCATCACCACTAGAACCTCCCTAAACACATTAATTATTTGAAATTTAAGTATGTTACTAAGTGAACTAACATTACAAACTCTTTCGTATTGTAACATGCGAGATAAAAGACACACTCATTGAGCCTGAAACACCTTGACGAAATGTGTTCAGTTGTTTATATATGTATATATTATACTATTTCATTACCTTTACTTAGTATATAATACACAACTCAAAAATACGTTAAAACAAGCTTCATTATATTGCGCATGTATATGTATAATAAGCTTCACTTATTGTAATCATGTTTTTTTTTACCTTTGACATGAATAGCTTATTTATACGAAATAAATTGACAATTTCAAGGAATATTATGAATATGCAATCTATACTTGAAATGTATTGAATTATTACTGCATTTAATTATGCTATATATATGTACTATATTATTGTTACGTCTCCGTTTATTAATTAACTTTCCGTAACTTCGTTCCGACGAAACTTTAACGACACAAGTCCTTACTTAATAAAACTGGTTTATTCTTTCCGAATAGAACTTTACAATACACTTAATTTCAATATTCGCGCTAAAAAAACACTATAACGAACGAACATTAACTTCAACAATACCCTGTGACTGCAGCTCAATTACTCACTACCTACACACACAATATTCTCCCGTCACGTTGTCACCCTCTTATATATACCAGACTACCCTATCTAGTAAATGCTAGGGCATTCGTGAAGGAACAAGATGGTTCTAGAAACTAGAGGGCGTGAGAATAGTCACGTGATCTCGATGACGCAACATTATATTTAACTAAATGCACTTCCACAAGTCCACAAAGGCGTTCTGTTTCAGGAGTAACCAAAATTAAGAGTAACAAATACTTTTATTTCTTGCTTTTGAAGTTTATATTTCATGTTGTGTTGTAGCCTATAGAGTGTATAATTCTTCTTGTGATTCATGCGACGTTTTACGCGTCCCTTATGCGAGGTCATTTTTGGGTCTACTGACTGAATGACAGACAACACGCTACTGTATAATAGTACTGTATAATAGTATAATAGTATTAAAAGTTACATTATGGTTTGTTAAATTTTACTTATTTATATCACAGCTTGTGATCTTTGAAATCTTAAACAAATAAAACTGTATTCTGTTGTATATGTTGTAACAAAATATGTTCAAAGTCACAATCTAACTTATATAAAAGCCAGTGTGTATTACATCACGTCACGCTTGATTTCTCGAAATAGTAGGAGCCATAAATGTCAAAATGCATTTATCCAGACAGAACTGATCGATTATTGTCTTCCAATTACGATTTTAGTGACGTCGGTGCAAAGTGCCGTGAGGGGGGTGCCGTGAAACCTTGTAAGTGTGGTGAGTGTTGGTATAATATGTCCTAAGATAAAGACGTAGTGTGGGATCACCTAGCCTAGAGCCAAGTACATAAAATGTATCATGAAAGTAAAAATATCGGTTCTCAATTTTGAATTTAAATCGTTTATGAATTAAGCTATTTTCTGTTATATTAACAACGTTTTTAATAAAAAACAAACCCCTTTAATCAACGGAGACTCTAAATTAAAAAAGATCAACAAACATTTTTCCAATTTTGTTGTTTACACATTTCATTTTATACTTTCAGTGCATAAACTAACAAGAATATTAGGTTATACTTTTGTTGCTAAGCAACATGACATAAAAACCATTGTTGGAACGTAGTGTTACCAAAACGCATTGTATTTTATATATATATTAGAAGTCGTCAATCTAACTGAGTTTTATCAATAATTATTCTGTGAATACGCCACGAATATGAAATTTGACATCATACCCCAATACATCTAGAAATTGGATAAGTAAGCCAAGCAAGGAGAAATAGTTAGTGTAATAAATATTTAAAATATACAGATAAATTAATTTAATATAACAATCCTATTGCCAGATTACAACTTAGATATAGCTAAAAAAAGACTTTTTTAATTAATACTATTTGATGAAAAGAGGTTTAATAAACGTTTTCTTTTCGCATTTTAGCACATAAACAGCATGATTGTGAAGTTTTAAACACATGTTTTCGGTCACTACTGTATGTGCTATCGCCATCAATAAAAATTGGTTTTCTTTTAGATGAAAAGCCAACAACACAATCAATATATTTTTTTCTGTGTTGTCGCCAACAAGCTACGAATAATATAAAAATAAAAGATCCATTTTCTTTTACTCTATTCCAGAGCTCATACTTTCAGATCTTCATGTACACAATTGAGAGTTTTTTAACACTAAAAATTCTTATTACAGTACAAAGGATTGAAGTTGCAATTAAATTGTACACTTTCTAAGAGCACAGCATTCTCGCTTGATATTTACTCTTAACTACCTATCGCTGTTTGCAAAACTTTGCATCAACATCATGAAGTGATATTTGTTTTCTAATGAATCAGATCCCTAGATTAGGCTGGTTTGAAAAATTTCTCACTCTTATTGGCACCATTAGCCTACGAAAAAAATCTAGAATTTAAGAACAAAAATATTTTCAGGAATAAGAGGCGTTGTTAGTGTTCTCAGGGGTGGGTGTGCCTTGAAGAGTCAATGGTCCGTTATTGTTCGTAATCTATGTTATAATTGATTCTAAAATTAGTGCACATAAAACACCATAAATGATAGAATCTTCTCTTGCAGTTCTGAGAAGCTTTCGAAGTAATTTGTCTTAACAGACTGATGAAATAGAGTACTTTTTGGCAAACGTAGAATACATTGGACTATGGAAACGATATTGATTAAACTGGAAACGACCATCTTACTTTAGAATTTTTTCTTAGCATGATTTATGAGTTTTCTTTGATCACTTTACTGTGGCTGGGGCATGTCATTGGTATTGGCGTATGTTGAAATGAAAGATGAAACATTGTTCGCTGCCGACTTAATCAATTAGCTTTCCTTCTATTAACAGTACTTTTATCATCAAATGAAATTAAGCAAAACGTAAGCGAAATTGGTAAAAAGTAAAAACTAAAGTAAGTTACTTGTAATACCATGAAAACCAATAAATCGTTTTTACTGTTCTAGAGGATGACGACAACACTGCTGTGATTACTCCAATGGTACTGGTTGTAATTGTTGTGGCTACTATATTGATGGCAGTGACAGTAGGCGTTATAATCATCATAAAAATGAGAAGAAAAAGAGGCATGCAAGGTACAGAAAAAACTTTCTTCTTGTATTTTAATTGGAAAAATATTGTATTAATGTTAATATCTAGAGGCCTGTTTTTTGTAGAAACTGAACGTTAGGTACTAGTCGCACTCAGACATTTATATTATGAATAACAAATAAAAATGTAGTTGATTTTATAATTTTTGCTATTTTAGTTTAAAAAGAGTTTCCACTAGTAAAGTAGGATAAAAGTTTAAGAAACTAGCATTTATTGTCCACATTAGACGCCCCCCAGTAGCACAGCGGTATGTCTGCGGACTTACAACGCTTGAAACCGGGTTTCGATACCTGTGGTGGGCAGAGCACAGATAGACCATTGTGTAGCTTTGTGCTTAATTACAAACAAACCACCATAGACAATGACAGGAAATTAAAATTGATATAACGTATGGAAACTGCTTTCATTGTATACATTATGTATATGCTGAAAAACTATAGAAAAGTGAATTGTATGTCTTCAGCCATATGTTAATTTTTTACGTTTGTCACTGGGATTTATGATTTTGTTTTCGTTTTTTCAATAAAGCTGCCCATCAACAAGAAAAAAATGACGAAATGTAAGTAGTTATCTTAAGCGATTGAATGTGAAATGTTCTTTTCAAAATCAATATGTGTCTTTGTTTGATGAAGAATGTAAGAATAGGTTTCAGAATTCATCATATAAATTTCTTTATAGTTTCAACCATTAGTTATGTAACTGGCTAAAACAATTTATAAGATAAACAATCTTCATAAATCTTTTATTTTATAAACGACTGAAATTTTTGAGAGTTCTACAAACATCAACAACAATAGCAAGAAAATCGACAAACATTAGTTTTAAAATTACTGTTGTTTTGTTATGAGATTATACAGACGTTAAAACGACTTAGCATATTCTAAAACAAACGGATAATGATTATGATATGCATAACTAGGGAGCTATTTTAGTCAGGAGTTTTAAATTTCAATCGAACATTTGATTTTAAAGTTACTTTGTACATAAATTTTGTTGTCATTTATCGCCACAAATTTATACTTGATTGTCAGACAAATAAACAAGTTTCAGAATATTTCATATTTGGCCTAAATCTGCATATTAAGTTAATGAATTTCCTTTTCAATTGCAATAAACAATAATGTAGGTAGCTGTGTTCAGTCCTTCTAGATATATAGTAAACAACAATAATGTAGTTAGCTGTGTTCAGTCCTTCTAGATATATAGTAAACAACAATAATGTAGATAGTTGTGTTCAGTCCTTCTAGATATATAGTAGACAACAATAATGTAGGCATCTGTGTTCAGTCCTTCTAGATATATGGTAAACAACAATAATGTAGGTAGCTGTGTTCAGTCCTTCTAGATATATAGTAAACAACAATAATGTAGATAGTTGTGTTCAGTCCTTCTAGATATATAGTAGACAACAATAATGTAGGCAGCTGTGTTCAATCGTTCTAGATATATAGTAAACAACAATAATGTAAGTAGTTGTGTTCAGTCATTCTAGATATATAGTAAACAACAATAATGTAAGTAGCTGTGTTCAGTCCTTCTAGATATATAGTAAACAACAATAATGTAGGCAGCTGTGTTCAATCGTTCTAGATATATAGTAAACAACAATAATGTAGGTAGTTGTGTTCAGTCCTTCTAGATATATAGTAAACAACAATAATGTAGGTAGCTGTGTTCAGTCCTTCTAGATATATAGTAAAGAACACAATTTGTGAAGACGACACATTTAAGTATATTATTTTCTTATGACATTGTACCTTAAATTTCTATCATCAAAAAACGTCTTTGCTTTAACATAGATTGCTTCTCTAGCAAGAAAAGTAGTTCTATAATATCAAGTTATTATGAGTACGTTTCTATGGCAATATATAACTCAAATGCTGTTTAAATGTATTCTTAAAAACTATCTTCATTAAACATTCTTATGATTTTCTCCATATTTCAGATCTGATATAGCCTACAACAAAAGTACGGACATTGCCTCAGAACAAAATGATATGGGACCAGACATCATTCCAGATAAACTGATAGCCAGAGTGTTCTGTGAAGGTAATGTTAGGATATATATATATATATGTGTGAGAAAGTAATGTCAGAATGTATGTGTATATATGTATATATATTATTCACTTTGACTTAACAAAAGTTTCGATTGAAATACATAGGATGATATTATCGATTTATTTCTGTTAAGATTATGATGTCTGTTTATATTTTTTATTGTAATGTAACTACTATTTTCTTCGTCATTGACTTTATAAATAAGTTTCATCTCGAGTCAGAAAACGTGATTAAAATTATATTTATTTCACAATAATTTTTATTAATATATTTTTCTCTATTTGTTTTGCAGGATGTTAGTTAAGATGTTAAGACGGAATGTCCTTTTGAATATTTCCAACGACTGAATTAATGTTAGGTATACATGTATTATCTTTTATGATATCATGGGAAGACCCAAATTTTGATGATCTCTTAAGCCTTTTCACGTTCACTGAATTATTTTTTGGCATATTCTACGTGACCAATATGTGGTATCTTTTCACTAAAATAACCACATAGAATACACATGAAATATGGGATTGGTGAATTTATTTTATCTCCTTTTTCTTATTAATTAAATTTAATCACAAAGGTGTGGAAAAAGGTGCGACCAAAAGAGGATTGAGCGTGCGACTTAAAGAAATGACAAGAATTTTACTACAATTATTTTTTCATTACTTAGCTAGGCTGCGGTTTTTGTTCAACTTCATTGATAAAACGAAATACACGGCCTGGCTAGCTAATGAATGAATATTTGCTGTAAATTTTTTATCAATGCTATAAGTGTAGCTACCAATTTGGCCGCAAATTTTGATTTCATTCCTTTAAGTAGCACGCTCAATCCTCTTTTGGCTGCACTCTTTTTCACACCTAAGGTGTTTTTGAATAGATATCATGACTTTTTGTCAATAGACATCAACAAACCAAAGCAAGTAAGAAAAAGTGACATATATTTAGACCAATAAATACAATAACGTAACAGAAAAATGAAGATACTAGGGACGAATGTTTAACAGAAAGAACAGTGATAACATAGTAGACTATAATAGAAGCAAAAGTAGTTATCCTCTCACTTGCCATGCACACCGCCAAAGGGCACCGCAAGTGTCAACCTCAGGCAATGGGAGGAGACAATGATGATGACCAGAGACGATGACGTCATAGTTCTACAAGTGCCATCAGTGGGCGAAGTTACTAGACCACTATGACAGGAGGACATGACTTCTGAGACCATGATGTCCACGAAGTGGAACCACTATCATGATGAGATCACCATAGATTTCTCAACATGTACTTAATGGCTAGATTTAATTAAATGTAAAACTGTTATTGGTTTAACATAATAAAAAATTCTCGACACAATATTTGTCTTTAACATTTTATTTGTTTGCAGTGGTAATAAGCATAATATATAGAATATTGTCCACACACAGACGAATATGGTTCTTGCAGTACTTTTTAGTTGTAAATCCACATTCGAAAGTTCTTCTTGATGAATTTTCTTATGTAGTGATTATGTGGAGGCTTATGATTCGAATTGACGATGTACAATTGTTTTTCTGCATCGTCGGGTAGTTGATCACTGGTAAACGCACCCCAAGCCTCTTTTATGACCAAAACTTTTTCAATTTCTAAATTTCCCCGTTTTTCCAAGTTAAAATGTGAATTTCCAACAAATACATTTGGTGTAAGACCAAAGGCAAAGAGTGTGTATCCTCCCGAGTATTCATCATATCCTATATCAATTCCTTGATCTTTAAACTGTTTTCTTGTTCCACTAAATAATGTTTTGTAGCTTCGTGCACATTGATCATAAAAAATGGGTTGTAAAGGTCGAGCAAGAATCTGTTTTTCATCCACATTGATTGCCTCGAAATTTATACTATAATGTTTGAAATTGTACGAATTTTTCTACCAAGATTCATTGAATGCATCATTATCACTGCATCCTATAGCTTGACGTGTAGGTACAAGACCTAAAAACACATTATCGATAGATGCTTGTAAGTTCCCTGTGGAATTGAAAACGATTTGCACACTATATTTTTTAAAGGACAGAAAGACTGATGGACTGATCTTGACTTGTCCAGCATTGATTGAAACGTGTTGTAGTAAAAGTTTGAGTCCCAATTCATTGTTTGACATAAGACAAAACGAATTTTCACTTCATACAAGTGGGAGTTTTAAACTTACACCATTAGGCAAGAACTTGTTCTGTAAAAAAATATCCGATTGTAGACGACCGATCGTGTTAACTGTTTTGCTACTACATGTACTTATGTGTCGATCTTTGATTCCATCGTTCTCACCATAATTAAAATCGAGATCGTCAAAATTACCAGCTGTGTTTCTTATCCACATAGACGATGTCAAATGATTTATCTTAGCTTCTACATTATAACTCAGTAAAGTTTCTATGTAGGCATTATACGCACAAAGATTGTAAAATGAAAAATTAGCTGGTCATTTAGATGTACATCCATTTGAGAAAATAGAGAATGAAGCAACAGGTTGACAGCTACAAAGATATATATCATCATCAATTTTATGTTGGTTCCATTAGGCATGATAATCTTTGCCTTTACATGAAGATATGATAGTGCCAAATCTAAATATTCATCTCCTGGTCACAATATAAAAGGTTCAATGAGTCCTTTGTTTGTCACTGAAGATAGAGGATAGTATTCGGTCCACTGACCTTCGTCAATCACAGTTTGTGTGGAAAGGCGAGAAAATAAGTCTAGCTGAGACTTTTTACACTGACAGAATCTTCAAATCCAAGTTTCACTTATAGTACAGGATCCAGTGTTATAGTGGCTCTATCATTGATGTTCATGCTTAATTTTTGGTGAACAAATCGTAAGTAAATATAAGTTCGTTGTCAGTTTAGGAAATGATTCTATACTTGGCTTAAGATTATAATTAAATCTTCAGGTTCTTTGTAATGAAATGGTCTAATAATTTATTATGGTAGCAGAGTGAGAACCTGAAAATTAAGATAATCATCCTGAACATCAGGCACGTTATGCCAGCTATGTGGGTACAATAGTTTAATCAAGGCTACTTCCGACAAACCATCAAGGTAGATAGATATTAAAATACCAGTGATATAGTTTGTAAGAGAATTATTAGCAAAATAATAATGTTAAAATAGAACTGTTACTAGGTAATGTCACATACGTCCATGTTGAATTTCGAGAAATAGAGTTATGCACATCATTTTATGACGACGAGCGATTCAGATCTGTATGAGGGACCTAGCTATTGGATGTATCAGGTTATCCTTTCCATTTTACAAAATATTGTTTGTTTTCACCCCTTACTCAGCTCACATAATATTTATTCTATAGCATAGACGACATTAGAATACTTTATAACTCTTTGTAGTTCAGATTTGTAAAAAAATTCATTTAATTTTTCTCTGAGATAGTCTTGCAGTTTATACACTGGTGGTTTTCTCTCTATTCTCGAGTAAATCGTAAATATTTCATTTGTCCATCCAGGCATATAGCCTTTTCTAGATTGATGCTTCACTTTGCTAATACATACTTGATTCCTAATTTGAACTGATATTTTACTTTAGTTGATGGGTTGTAAAGTGTTTTCCACACCACAGGCTAGTTAGAGTGATCAACATTTTAATGCTGTGATGATACAACTGATTATAGGCACTGCCCAGATTTTTCAGAATAGTGATATATTTATAAGTTCCATTATGATTAAAAAAGCGCCATATTCTAGTTTTAATAGTATGATTAAGTATTTCTACTATATAGAGGCTTTTGTTTTATTATGTATAGTAACGAAGTGAATGTCTTGTTCCTTGAGATAGTGTTGAAACAGATGATTGGTAAATTCTGTTCCAGCATTGGTATGAAGTTTACAAGGTTTTCGACCCAACTTTAAAATATGTTTTAAATATCTTACAAGTGTTGTTCCTTTCTTATCCTTGAGTGGAACAACTCATGCATATTTAGAAAACACGTCGATACACGTGAGTAAATACTTAAACTGATTGTTATATTGACTTAGGTTAAAGAACGCCAAATCAGCCTGCCATTGTTCATCAATCACTGAAATGATCACTTGGTTTCCCGAAAACTTATGTCTTTCTGGTTTGTGTAGAGTGTATGTATACTGAAGACTTAACCAGTCTTTGATCTGTTTTAGACTGATGGATACCAGTGTTTTCACAGATATAAATGAAGGCTGTACTTGACTAAAACAAGCAAATTTTGTAGGGTTATAATATATAGATTTTAGAGTTTTATTAGACATTATATTATATTTTATCTGCTTTTATTTAGTTATTTACCATCACCTTTGTCTCTAAAAGTAGACATTATTTGACTTTTACAACAGATGATATTAATTCTTAGATGGCTCAAAATATTACTGAGCTTAAAAGGCATGTAACAGCCCATGACGACAGTCAAGAACAAGAGAATAAACAATACAATACTACTTTATTAAAAATGATCCTTCTAGATAAAATACATTTAGGTATTTTATCATGTGTATCATGTTTCATATACTTCCATCTGTCTGCATTTCCAACAACTTATTGGGGAATATTCATATCTGACAATCATTATGCAAATTCTTTTCAACCTGTAGGGTTAAAATTCTTTCATTTTTGTAGTACGTCGTTGATTAGGTCGATTATTTTCTGTTTGGGTTTGCTATTTCACTAATCACTAACTCTTCACGATCATTCCGCATTATATCCCCACAAGAACAAGTTTAATAGAATTTCATCTTTCGTTTTATATTACTCGGAAAAAATGTTGATGATCTCTAAATTTCCATGAGTCGGCCATTCCATTTTAATTTTAAGGGGTTCCATGGCTTGTGAATAAAAGGTCTGATGACGTTGTTGCAGTTGGTTTATAATCTTTGTTTTATAGTCTATGGATAAAGGATCATTTTCTATTATTGAACTCATATCATTCATTATCTATAGACTTTAATACTGTATGCATTGGTCTTTTATAATCAGTGGATTG